ACTTCCGAGCTGCCGCCAGCTGTATAACATGTCCCCGCAATTCTACAAAAACGGTCATGTAGATTGGAATAGAATGTAAAGTCGCGCTCAGTTGGGTGAAGTTCCCTGCAGACATCCGCCAGCCCTGCCGTCTGCAAAAGAAAGCACATACAATCCTCTAGCACTAAGTCATGAGATGGGGCCACCCCCCCCGGGCATAGCGCCTATCCAATGTGGAATCCAAGGTAACATTTGAATCTCAGAAAAGAAAAAGAAGACCCTTAGAGTGTTGGGAAACGATGGGGCAAAGATGAGAAAAAATGTATGCTGAAAGTGATTGGGCACTTAGTAAGAGACAAAAGTAACCTCCTGGTCCCATAGGGTGCCCTGCATGAGCAAATACCTGCCCGTAGGGTCCGCTATATTCCGAGCACAGACAAAGGAGAGATTGTGTTTGAAAGCTATCAGTACACCCTGGCTTTTCTCAGTTAAAAGTGGGATAATGGGGCAAAAAATACTGTGGGGTGGAGGACTGAGAAGACCTAGTTTCCTGTAAACATACCACATCAATTTGTTGCGATTTGAGGTGATGAAAAACTTTAGCCCGCTTTTAATGCAAATTGAAGCCTTGAATATTTTGTGAATGTCCTTTCAAAAGGGGTGAGGCCATGGTGGCATCAGCACAGCACGCACAGCAGAAAAAGCATAAGTCAGCCAACAATTTCCACTCCCAATGGCGTTCGGACCATGGCATCCTGAAACACTGCATAAAAAAACTCCCAGAGAAGAAAAGAAAAGAAGAAAAGAAAAGAAGAAAACAACACAAGGAGTATGTACAACAGTACAATCATATCACACCAATGTTGACGTGCATCCTATACTTGAAGGATACTAGTTGGGGGTGGCTCTACCACCGGACACATGGCTGCAAATGAAAACATCAAAAACATAAGCCCTCAAGGGGCAAAAAGGTAATAAACACAACGTAACGGGGTCCCAAAGTAATAAAAATATGAGTCCCAAAAGTGAGAACATTTGCAGAGACTTCCCCATTGGATACCCAGCTAAACTTGGGGGCCAACCCCCTCCAGGAGGATGACTACAGGCCGCTGTGGTACCCCACAACATAGCCCAAGTGGTCCCCCACCAACCTTCCAGTAGGACCGACACCCAACCCAGGCCAACACAGGCCTACCCGGGCCAACCTCCCACCCCTGAGCCTGAGGCAACCATCAGCCCATGCCAACAATGCGAACCCAAGCAATGACACCAGGACCCGTGGTAGGCCGCAACGGCAAACAGTCATAATCCTCAAGTCCAGGAGGTGATCCCCGCACTCAAGGATGGAACCCAAGGGAACAGGCCGCATCAGGCCCAATCTGGAACACTAACAAACTGGAAGTGCCCCAAGCGCAAAACTCAAGGTCCTGTCAGGAGAGTCCAACAGTAAAACACAACGTGGGAGGTCCAAGATACAGCTTCAGCCCAGAGGAGAGCAGGACGGACTTGATTGTAGAGGGGTCTGAGGGAGGGCCTTCTACCTATTGGACGACCTCTCCCAGAGGTGGCCCAGAGGAAGCGGCCTTACCGGTGATCCGGAAGAATGAGCTGGGCTCCGGTATCGCCTCCCAGCGAAAAAAGGTGTAAAGATTCCAGGAGAGAGTGGTGCTCCTCTGGCGTGGCAATAGAGTGACTGTGGCCCTGGTAGTTGAAGGTGATGCGGAACGGAAAGCCCCAGACATATTTATTTCTACAGTTCACCAGGACCGAAGTGAAGGGCTTCAACTGGTGGCTCTTCTGAAGAGTGGTTTGGAAGAGGTCTGCGAAGAGCTGGTAGTGATGCCTCTGGAATATGAGGTCTGGGTTGTTTCTGACCACCAAGAGGATAGTTTCCTTAGTGCGATAGTAAGTGAACTTGATGATAATGTCCCTCGGGGGCCCATCCGGTCGTCTGGGGCCAGTGCACGGTGTATGTGGTCAAATTTGAGCCGGGCAATGGAAATGGCGGGCGTCAGCTCCTGAAACAGTGCAGTAGTGGTTGAGGTGAGATCTGTGACAGTTTCCGGGATACGCCTTAATCGCAAATTGCCGAGGCGGCAACAGTTTTCGAAATCCTCCAGCTGGAGCAGCGCATCTGCCAATTCTTTCTTGAGGTCACACAGATCCTGTTCGTGACTTTCAATGACCGTGGCCGCATCGTCCATGTTATCTTCAAGAACGTTCGTCCGATTACCCAACTCCCGAATTTCTCGCGAAAGACGGTCGGTCAGCTTGGAATTAGCAGAAAATAATTCTGACTGCAGCATGGACTTGAACGCAGGAGCTCAGCATCCCTCAGAGCTGGAGTGGGAGACTGCAGGGATGCCTCTGATGCCAGGTAGTCATCACCGCTGGGATCCGTCCCACCATGGGTAGTGGCGGCGGGGGACCTAAAATTGAGGCTGGGGCTTCAGATGCGACCTCTGGCAGGGGACCCGAACTCGAGGCTGGGGCTTCGAATGCGGCCTCCAGTGGAGGACCTGAAATTGAGGCCGGGGCTTCAGACGTGGCCTCTGGCAGGAAGGCCGCAAGTTCCGGCGCGGCCCGGGCGGCTGCAGTCTTCTTGCCCATCGGGGCAGCGGGGGACAGGGGGCTAGGAGGGAAAGCAGGCAACCCCCCTGAGGGCTGGAAGATCAGCCAATGTGTCCGGCGGCCGAGGAGCAAGCCTACAATGCAGCCATTATGGTTGCTGCTCATGATCGCCCCCCCTTTGAATCACATTTTAAGTGAATTTTGGGAGTAGCTAGATTTCTTCCGAGAAAATAAGAAGAGTGTTTGAATATTCAGCGAATGTAATTCTTTATGTGAATGCTAGCTTAGTCCAAGCTCTGAAAATCATTAGAAAAATTTGCAAGTACTTGAAGGGATCAGGCTTATTTGGGTTATCAGGGGCCGGCCACTTGATTACATCTGCAGTTAAAGTCTGCCTACAAGGTATTGCACTAGCAAGGTAGTTAGCTCACCCAGGCTGGGAAAGGATTAATTTTCAGTACTTAAGTTCCTTGGCTTTTGGTCTTGAACCAGTCTTCCACCCTGTGTGGTACATAAATAGAGGGAAGGTACAGTTCTGGAGGGAGCCGTACGTGCCAGCGTGAGATCAAGGGAACGCATCACATAATGGAGTCTGGGAGCACAGGAATCGACATATAATCCACCCGAGAGGTCAATGTACTAATGGACACTACCAGTTATTGGAGATCGCCAAGTCATGGACTAACACCTGTAAAGGTATGCTTGGACAGCCACCCCCATTAGTTTGTTTAGGGTATGAACTAAGTTGTATTTGTTACATGTTCTGCAAAGAAGAAATACAGCAAAGGTTGTCAAACTGTTCCAAGCCTGGTCTGAAGTCAATCAAAGGGGTGTATGATGGACTGAGAATGGTATGAGAAAGACAGAACTAAATAAGAGAACGCATGAGGTCCACACTGGGTGCTTGGAGGGGCCTCATTTTGTCACTGGCAGTGAGGTGGCAGAGGTACGCTGTACTGGTTGAGTACTCCTAAATGCGACAAGTAACAAGGAGGGGTGTAGTGACACTGGATGGAAGATTTTACAGAGGAACTCTGCATCTCACACAACTACACACTGTGCATGGCTCATCTCTAAGATGGGGAACCACCTTAATGTTTTACTTTCATATGAGTGCAGTCCTAACAGCGTGTGCGTGGCTGAAGGTACCCCCATGTGCAGGGCGAAATGGCCTCTCCCACAGGCCAATACTTGTTAGAGCCAGAGTCCCTAAATGTCTCTCTATACCTAAATAGCTAACATGTGCCTCTAAGCAGCTGTAAATGCAATACTTTTTTAATGTATTTCTCCCTCACATGATAGACATTTTGTCAGAAAAGAAGGCATGTTTTCCAGGAATAATTGCAGTTTTTAGGTAAGCTGCATCACAGATCATTTAAACCATAAGGAACGGTTGTACTGATCTACTTTAACAGTTGCTATTTCTTTTGAATTGTATTGTCAATTGCATCCTAGTATTGCTTAAGGTGTTTAGCCAGCAAAGATTCATGCTACTTTAAAATGTGATGTCTTTCCTGTTTACAGATCTCTTATTTCAGTTTCTTTATAGTGCTGTCATAACATTCAGCAAGCTGCTGTTGTGAAGTAGATTTGGGGCCCCATGGAGCTACAATATCTTGTTATAATGACTGACTTGTTTGCTGAAGTAAATAGAACTATGGAGTAGAACTTAAAATCTACATGTGTGAATATCTTCTTGGTGTTGTTAGTTCTCTAAGTGGATTATATTCATTTTATGTCATTTGTTAAATTGACAGATGGCTGAAGGCTAGATGGTGCAGCTGTTTAATTTCACCAGTGGGTTTGCAATGAAGACTTTTTGATATCTAGCCCAAGATGAAACAGTGGATCAAGGTAGATCTTTCCTCTTTGTGTGTCGGATTTCACTTGTGTGACATATAAACTTTTCATGAAATTTAGAAAGTGTTTCCTATTCATGTCTATGTAACATGGCAAACTGGAAGTTATTTACTAAAGCTGGGGAATGCACAATCTGGTGCAACTCTGCAAAGAAACCAATCAATTTTCAGGTTTTATTGCCAAAGCTTAATTAAACAAGCTGAGGTTAGAAGATGATTGGCTACCATGCACAGCTGCATCAGATTCTGAGTGAACAAGTGTTAGTAAATCTACCCCTCTATGTCATAAAGCTTCAAAGAAAAAGTTACTATAGATATTCCAAATTAGGTGTAACCAGCAAATCCATACATTTCTGAGGGAATAAGTAGTTCACAATTATCTAGAAAAAAAATTAATGTGACCAATAAATATGCCATTTCCATCACAGAAACATTCATAGGCTAAACAGAATATATGTTTGGAACTGCAATGGAGTGAGCAGTTGAAAACAAGCCATGTTGCTATGAGGCATGTCAGATTACAAGTCATCAATTAAGATTACAGTCTTTATTGGTGAATAACTTGGTTTGAAACCCAGAAGGATCTACATGTGGCAAATGTTTTAGTCTCCCAACAGGGGCAGACTGACCATTTGGAAACTCGGGCACTGCCCGAGGGCCCGGGGTCAGTGGGGGCCCCATGAGATGCCCCTGGTACCTTTTTCATAGGCTTTTTTGAGTTTGGGCAAGGACACAGGGGCCCCATGATCCCATATTGCCCGGGGGCCCCATGAGTTGTCAGTCCGCCCCTGTCTCCCAATCATGTGCATGATGACTAGTCTGATCTTTACAGAACCATACAATCCATACATTAAGACTGACTTGCAGTGGGATTCTTTACAAGCTGACTTCCATTGTCCAATCACGTGCAAGAAAAATGCTGATTTTTTTTAATGTGCATGCACATGATTGGATATTCTTTGAAAAGTGAAATTTCCCCACATTCACTAAGCTCTGGGGAAAATTCCCTTGCAAAGCAAAGAGCCTTTTGTTAACCAACCCCTCTGATTGGCTGTCTTTGCTTCACAAAACTTGACAAAAATGGAAAGTCAGGAGGCCTTTCAGACCCCAAGAAAGAACAGTCTGCAAAGCAGGCAAGTATATGAGGCCATAGGTCTTACATTAAAGGGTATATAAACTCTAGCAATAAAATCTTATGTGGTACATTGTAGCCAGTTAAATATACCAGCAAAAAAGTGTTTTGTTATATCTGTTTGGTAAATGCAAAAAATAACTGTTACTCTTTCCAAAAATCTTGTCAGCTGCTTACCCCCTTTGCCCCTTTTCTGTATTGCCCTTGTATTATTTACATTGTTTTTAGCTATCTTTGAGGACTGCAGAAAGACTCCCCTCTATGTTGTGAAGATGCCATTTGTCTATAGATAAAGGATGATGAGAAAGTGTTTTCACTATAGGCCAGGAAGTGTGTGCAGCCACCATATCATAGATTTTATTTTCTTTCTTGGGTTTAAATGCACTTTAAGATTATCTCTTAAAGGTTGGGGAGAGTGACCTAGGAGCTAAAGTAAATTTTCCTACTAATATGTATTAAACATTTAGACAAAACCCATAAATTAGAATACAATAATAATTTGTCTTAGTTATGTCAATCCATCTGTTTTATTAAATACTGTACATATAACTTTCTAAGTTACAAATTACCATTCACATCAGTTTTTGTCCCATCAGCATTCAGTGCTTACTGTCCCCTCCCGCAGCCTCAATCATCAATACACCATTTTCTTTTTCATTACTTGGTGGTGCACGTACTAACAGCAGTACTAACGACACTTATAACAACCTTGGCTAAGGCTCTAAATAGTATTTTATATAGGGCAGTTTTGATTGAGTGTTTTGCAAAAGATACTAGAAAAGATACCATGAACAATCTTTAAATTCATCATATGCTTCACTGAAATAATTGTGAATGTTCTGTTTCCACATTGCAGAAACAGAATAAAAAAACGCCCATGATATTTGCTTAATGAGAGGCAGAAATAACAATGCAGTGGTAGTGATGTGTCTAATTATTGGGAAATTTTCAAGAATTTTTTTCTCCCAGAGTCTCTTTATGTAGAAGCTGCCAAATTACATGTCACCTTGGAGGGCATATTTTCTGTACTTCACAGCGCCTACAATAGCAAACTCATGAATATTTACTGTGCTGATCAGATATGCAGCAGTGAGAACAAATAAAAAATGTTTGTATTTGCATATTCGGCAGCTATTAGGCATTCAATGGACAGAGGAAAAAGAAATTGGAGATACCTTTCCATGGGGATACTGAAAGAAACATTCCCTTACAATATGACTGACTATTAATAATAACATTGACTTTCAAATTGAAAGAGTTATTACTTTTGCAGCTCTTCTACAGTTTTTTAACTACTTATATAAAGAAGCAAACCTCAAAATTAGCCTAATGTATTTCAATGATCCATTTGAATGTGTTTGTGTATTATATATTTTGTCTTCGATAGACATGTTTTGCTAGACAGTTCTCTGTGAATTGATTGGACAAATATTTGTCCACCTTGCATGTGGATAACCTACAATTCTCTTTAAGCTGGAACTCCAAGTAGTGAATACAACATATTTTTGAACCATAAATGTGTTGTTCTGGGATCCCAAAAAAAGTAAAAATATAATAATGGTTCCAATGTACAGTATATCCTCTATTATATTGTGCTGCAGATTAATCTTTAAGGCTGTATATATATACATTGTATATGCATACGGCTTTTGTTAGCATTTCCTCTAGTTTTTACAGATTACAGAGAAAACCAAAAGATTGAAAGTTTAAATTGTTCCATAAATTGCTCCATATCTATCATACACACTACTTTTTGTCCAAGTTTAAATGTTCTTTTTGATAGAGACTATTAAACGCTTCCCCACCACCCTATAGTAGAACTACTGTTACAAGGCGGCAGGGCTGTGCAAAATCACACATATATACTTGATTTGCATCTCCGGGTAGGGGCGCGCATGCACCGCCCTACCAGTGCCTCCATTGGCGGCAACAGATGTCAATCACCGGGTCCCCACCGGAGATTCCCCGCCAGCACCAGGCAATCGCCGCATAGAACTGACAGGGGACATGCTGCTGTGTAATTCTCTGCACAGCAGAGAAATACACAGCAGCACATCTCCCTTGTAAAACACACACAGCACATGATGTAAAACAGCACACAGTTAATCCTTTGATCGCCCTAGATGTTACTCCTTTCTGCCCAGTGTCATTAGTATAGTGTCAGTGCTTTTTATAAAGCACTTATAACTGTATTAATGTCACTGGGGATGTCAGTGGCAGTTAGTCAGTTCCCACCCAGTGTCAGAATGCCTGCCACAATCCCGCAGTCCCGCTTTAAGTCACTGATCACCGCCATTGCTAGTATTAAAAAAAAAATTCCAGTATATATACCGCCATTTGTAAGACACTATAACTTTCTTGTAAACCAATTAATTTACATGTATTGGGATTTTTTTTTAGCAAAGAAATGTAGCAGAATACATTTTGGCCTACATTTATGAAGAAATTTTGATTTTTTTAATTTTTTTTAATGGATAAGTTTTATAGCAAAAAGTCAAAAATATTGTTTTTTTTTTTTTTTGTTTATAGCGCAAAAAAAAATGCACAGCTGATCAAATACCACTGAAAAAAAAAACTCTATTTGTGGAAGAAAAAGGACATAAATTTAATTTATGTACAACATTGCATGACCACCAATTGTCAGTTAAAGTAATGCAGTGCTGTATTGCAAAAAATGGCCTGGTCAGGAAGGGGGTAAATCCTCTGGAGGGCAAGCGGTTAAGGATACGTAATGTTAGAGTTATGTTTTTCTTTGCTTACAGTCTTTACTATTTTTAAAATAATGTTCTACAAACACTAAAAGAGTATGTGCATTATTATGGTATTTGTGAAGGGTCACACTGCATACGATTTTCCACCCTTCCTGCATCCTTTCTCTATTCAAAGCATCCCTACACTAGACTGGAGAATGCAAATGCTTAAAATAGGACAGGTTGGGGGGGGGGGCTGTTGGGGGTTGAGGTTGATATGGTGGCATTGCTAAGATAACTTTATTTTGATTAAATGTAGGACTGAGGGACTCTAAAAGACAGATTGACATCACTGTAGGGGGTTGCTAAGTAACAAAGCAGATTCAGGAGATAGTGGTGTTGATTATGGTAATCAGTGTCAGTGAAGGGCATCAGAAAGTGATATCTAATCCAGTACTTGTGCATTTTGATGAACTACCAGAGTGGATAAAGGATAAGTTCACCTTTGGAACATGTTAAAAACAGGTGTAACATGTTCCAACATCTTCAACCCGCACACCAATCCCACCCTCCCAGTTACAGTGGGTGGGGTATCTTCTCCCCATACCTGCTGTCACAATTTAAAAACAATGTGGCCATACAGGGCTCTGCCCACATGGCCATATCATTCATTTACAGCTTCCTTTTAATGAATAGAATACAAGTACCATCTGTCATTGCAGCTAATAGCTTGTAGTTCTCAATGAGCTACGAAGGTGCTGGTGAGCACTCTGGTAGTTCAATGATTCCTGCTCTCAAGTAACTGTCTTCCCATGTGAGGTATGGGCAGACGCCTAAGGTTGCACCCTCTATCTGATGATCATGAGTGCAATGCTTTGGTCCATTTGAAAAAAAAAAAAAATGCAGTTTTTTTACCTGCACAAAAAAAAATGTGCATTTATTTATTTATTTTTCAAAGGTGAACTTATCCTTTAACCACTTGCCCTACAGAGGATTCACCCCCCTTCCTAACCAGGCCCTTTGTTTGCTTTACGGTGCTACGTTACTTTAACTGACAATTGCGTGGTCATGCAACTCTGAATCCAAATGAAATTTACGTCCTTTTTTGCCCACAAATAAAGCTTTCTTTCAGTGGAATTTGATCGCCTGTGCGTTTTTTTATTTTTTGCTCTATAAAAAAATGACAATTTTGAGAAAAAAAAAACATTTACATTTTGCTATTAAACATGTCCAGTAAAAAATTAAAAAAATGAAATTTCATCATAAATTTAGGCCAAAATGTATTCTGCTACATATCTTTGCTAACAAAAAAAATCTCAATATGTGTAAATTAATTGGTTTACGTAAAAGCTATAGAGTTTACAAATGGCGGTATATATACTGGGATTTTTTTTTTCTACTGGTAATGGCAGCAATCAGCAACTTATAGCGAGACTGCGGGACTGCTGCAGGCATTCTGACACTGGGGAGAACTGACTTGGTGTCACTGACATCCCCAGTCACACCAATACAGTGATCAGTGCTAATAAAAAGCACTGACACTGTACTATTGGCACTGGGCAGGAAGGGGTTAACATCTTTGGCTATCAAAAGGTTAAATGTGTGCTGGGTGTGTTTTACTAAATGTAGGTAGGCGCTGCATAAAAATAAGTGAAAATGTGCAAATATTTAGGAGGCTAGTATCACAACATGCCCCTAAATAGAACCATTGTAGTTTGAAGAAATGTCTCAAGGTATAGGCTATAGTCCCATAATCTATATAGAAAACATATAAACCAAAGATAAATAGATAAAAGTCCACA